TATTCTTAACGGGTTAACGGATTATCCATTAAGAAAATTGAATAATCCGCCCCAAATCGATAAGTCGTTAATAAAAATATTTCAATCCGTTCCCCATCCGTTAAACCGTTAACCCAATACCAATAAGCCATTAAGCTTCGGTTTCAGTTTGGTTTTCAGTTTCAGTTCGGTTTTGAACACCCCTACCCGGGATGGACCAAGTCACAATTCCCTCGGTGTACGCTAACACGCCTGTCACTTAGCATGTGCGCCACCTCCAAAATAATGACATGATACCAAAATCTGGGGTTTCATACCCTCATGACCAGATTTATAATTGTTACTTACCTCAACCCGTGTAATTATTTATTTAGCTATGCCCTTGCCACAAGAATTGGTCTCCGAAAGCCACGTATTTAGCTATAATTAATTCGAATCAGTCAATACAAATTATTATAATTAATTCCATAATGAAATACTAATTTTCCAAATAAAATCCGAAGTTAACTCAAAAATCGCCCGTAGGGCCCACGTCTTGGAACCCAACAAAAGTTATATAATATGAACGCCCATCCAACCACGAGTCCAACCATATAAATTTCACCAAAATCCGACATCAACTCGACCCTCAAATCTTCAATTAAAGTCTATGAAGATTTCTACAATTTTCGACTCAATCCTTACCCATTTGATCTTAACAATCCTTCCACAACCTTATTGGTATGTATACATAATACTCTTACACCCAAGAATCATACTATAAATTACCCATCTTTACTTTAAATACGAAATTGAAGAATTAGGAAAAGAAATTCTTACCTCTTTGAAGCCCTAGCAAGATTCTTGTGAAATCTTCAAACCTTGAACAAGAATTAATGGATAAATGACTAAGTCTTCACTTTCTCTCTCTAAAATGCTCTCACCTCTCTCTAAAATATCAGATTTTGGCTTTAAAAAAAGACCTTCAAGGGCTATAAATTGAAGTTGGGTCGGATAAAAAATTAAAAAGAATGGAATCTTCGACGCAGTTAAGCGGTCGCATAACAGGTATGCAGTCCGCATACCAACCGCATAATTTGGCCTCCAAAGCTGGGCGTTACTGACCCGGTCTGCGGTCATTATGCGTTCCACATACTTGCTCTGCGTCCGCATAATGCACCGCAAAACAGGTCTGCGGTCACATAGTGCACCGCAAATTTTCCTCAAATCTTGCCCCTCTCTTGAACCACTTTGCGACCATTATGCGGTCCGCAGAGTGATTCTGCGACTGCATAGTGGTCGCAGAAATGACCATTTTGCGACAAAATTTTCCTTCACACATCGGTGCATTATTCAACCCAAAAAGTTCGAGCCACCCAACCTTAATTTTCTTAGCAAAATTTCTCCGAGGTCGTTACACATATGGTTAGCATCCGGTCAACCTTTTCAACTTAAATTCTAAACCTTGGAACTAAGCACTCTAAGTCATTTCAAAGCCTCACCGAACCCAAACCAATTACCCCAGAAAGCCAAATAACAACTGTAATTCATAATTTGAGCAGTAAATGGAGAAACGAAATTATAATAATCAAAACGATCTGCCGAATCGTTACAGGGGGATGGTTAGTTCAGGATTTAAAAGGGTTCACGCTAAAATTGGAACACTTAGTTCCTTAATATTAGTTTTAAAGGGGTAAGTTTGACTTTGGTTAACATTTCTAGTAAACGACCTCGGAACTAGAATTTGATAATCACAATAGATTCCTATGATAATTTTAGACTTGGGCGTGTGCACGGAACGGGTTTTGGATAATCTGGGAGCGTTTCGATGCCTAAAGTTGGAAATTGGCTTATTGAAGGCTTAAAGGTTCGTTAATTTTATTTTGGAGTAGGTTTTGGTATTATCGAGGTCCGTTTGGGATTCTGAGCTTGGGACTAATTTTGTATGGTGATTTAAAACTTGAACGTAAAATTTGGTGCCATTCCGAGTAGTTTAGGTACGATTCAGCGCGTTCCGAGCAAGTTGGAAGAACTTTAAGTTCATAAGTTGATTTAATTTTGTTTGGGGGTGTGATTCTTAGTTTATTGTTGTTTTCTGCATTCCGAGGGTTCAATAAAGTCTGTCTCATGATTTTAAACTTGTTGGTATGTTTGGGCGGGGCTTCGGAGGACACATATGCTATTCAGATGATGCGCGGAAGTCATTTGGCCTTGGATGAATAGCTGAAGCACCCAGCTTCTAGTGCAATCACACCTGCGGAGGACCAGCCGCAGGTGCGAGCTCGCAGAAGTGATCCAGCAGCCGCAGAAGTGGCCCATCGTAGGCAGCTCAGAAATCGCATATGCAGACGAGATGGGCGCAGATGCGCGACCGCAGAAGCGGGAGGGGGGCACAGGTGCTGCTCGTACGCTGCAGGAGCAGGTTCGCAGAAGCGAGCCACTCTTCCGCAGATGCAGATTTAGGCCAGCTAAGGGGATACCGCATCTATGAGGAATCTTCCGTATATACGGAGCAGCAGATGCGGCTAAGGAGCCGTAAAAGTGGAAAAACCGCTGGACAGAACCTTCATTTAAGTCGGGACTTGAGACATTTTGGGTTCATTTACTGTATTCCTTGGGAGATTTTAGAGCTTCTTAGAGAGGGGTTTTCACCTAGCTATTGGAGATAAGTAATTTCTATCCAATGTAAGTTAAATACATAGATTATGGGTAGATTTTAACATGTAAAATTGCGAAAATTATGGGTTTAGATGAACAAACCAAAGTTTTTATAAAAATGAGATTTAACCACGAAAATATTTATGGGTTTGAGTGAAAATTATATATTTGAGTTTGTGAGGTTATGGGTAACATTTATCTTTGATAAGTTTCGGAATCCGTACACGTGGGCCCATGGGTGAATTTTAGAAATATTCTAATTTGGGTTGGGTAATTACTCTAATAGTTAAATTGTGAACTTTTGAATATGTATGGATTAATTTATATAACATTTGACTAGTTTCGGGTCGTTTGGCACCGAGTTGAAGATTTAAAGAATATTTGTGGATCGGAAGTGAGCTTGAGAATGAGGTAAGTCTCTTGCCTAACCTTGTAAGAGGGAACTCATCCCCTTAGGTTTATTTGTTGTGAATTACTTGTGTGGGGAGCTACGTACGCACTAGTTGATGAGAATCTGTGAGTAGCTAAATTTCATGTGATGTCCGAGAAGTCTTAGATTTACATCATACTTTATTTGTACTGTTATATTGATTTTGCATATTAATTGTCTCAAATAGAGTTGAGATTAAGGATTTTAAGATTTAAAGTCTCCGGTTTGGATTTCTTATGTTTGGGAAGAATTTAAGAATTTTATAATAACTCTGATAAATCCATGTTCACTCGCGTCGCAAGTATTTTCGCGAGTGAGGTAAATTTCCTCTTCTCTCATGGGAGTGGATCATTTGCCTCGGGAGGTTAATAGATGCATCTATGGTTCGTGTCGTTCGACCCTTGGCAGTGCACAAAGTATATTTTCTAGATCGACCTTTAATTAATACTAGGTGGCTCGTGCTTTGCACGGGCATATGCGTGAATTTGCTTTACAAAAGAGATTTGATACCGAGAAAGATAATTTCATAATATACAGGAAAAAATAACTATCGATCTGACTAAATATTAACATATCAGGCCTCAGACTATGTACATTTATTTGCGGAATGACGTTGTACATTTACATTCTTGGGCTTGTTCCCAACGAGAAAGACAAATAATTAGATTAATCATGTTCATATTGATAGTCCCAACTAATGCAAAAGCTGATGCTGCAATTGTGATAGCACATACTTTCACCTTGGTATCCACTAATGAAAGGAAAACTAAGAATTAGAATCAAAGGATAACATACCAAGCTAAATCTAGGATAATCAATGCAAAGCAAAGGAAAGAAAGGACAAACCTTCTGATATTGCTTTCCAAAAGGATAATAAAATAATAATCAAGAGAACTATGATCTATCAAACATGATAGAAAATTGTCTCTCTCGGCATTGCATCATCATGCTTTCGCTCATCGCGAGTGACATATCTACATATATAGAAAGGAAGGTACTCCAATTTTGAAAGATTTTGACTAAGCATTGATAAGTTTAGGGTACTTAAAACTGATTTAAACCTGCAATAAGATAATCCACCCAAAACTTATGATGGATAATAATTCTTTGAGTTATCATTAAGTTAAATAAAAAACTGAAATGACAAAAGAAGCAAAGTAGATGCAATATATCAGAGGTTATCATGAGAAGGGCCAATGGCCACTTGCATGTGAAAACGTTTCATATTTCGCGTTTAAGCATACTGAATTTTGTGCATGCCTCACCAACTAAAGCTAATCCCAA